GAGCCAGAGGAAGACTACTTTGACCTAGCCGGTCGACTGAATGATGTATATCATCAAGCGGATTTAGAAACTGTCACTAGCCAGCAGATTAAAGCTCTCCTGTTTATTAAAGCTTTGACGCTTCCTGAGGACGCTGACATCGGTACACGCCTGCCTGCTCAATTAGATCAGAGAACCGAAATGACGGTCCAAGAGTTAGCAGAGGAGTGCGTTCGCATTATGAACACCAAAACCGACACTCGGCTGATCGGGGATACAATGAACCAACCAGTGCGTATGTACGAAGCAAAAGCCAGCAAACCTAGGGAGAATTTTAGTTCCCCAAGGAAGCCGCAAAGAGCATGTTGGAAATGTGGCGGATAACATTTTGTATCCTTATCGCACTAGAAAGTGTTACAAGAAAGAGCTGTAATGCCATAACCCAAAGTGAATCACAGATCCTCAGTTGCGAAGGTAGAAAATATTTGACGGTCAGTCAAGATGGAAAACCTATAACGTTGCAGGTTGACACAGCGTCAGACCTTACGATAATTATTAAGGGCATGCGGGAGGCTCTGGGAGCGCCAGAACTGAAGCCAACGGCCGTCCGTGCCTGGGCATCAAATCATACGCAAATGCTTTTTGAGGGCGTTTTCCAGGAAACTATCGCTTTCGAGGAAAGAGCCCGTTTGTCTGACATTTATGTGTCGAAGTCAGATGCTGATCTTCTTGGAAATAAGACTATATCACAACTGGGTCTCTGGAATCGGCCATTTCAGGAGATATGCTATGCGGTAACCATTACAGAAGAGGACCTGAAGCAAAAGTATGCCGAGCGGATGGAGATGTCAGCCGGAACGTGTACAAAGACTACAGTAAGCTTGATGGTAAAGCCTGGGAAAAAGCCAGTCTTTAGACAGAGTAGACGCGTCCCATGTGCCGTACAAACAGCGGTAGAGGAAGAACTGGGGCGCTTGCACCAGGAAGGCATAATCTGTCCCACACATTATTCAGCATGGGCTGCTCCCCTTGTCGCCGTAAAGAAGCCTAACGGTAGGATGAGACTGTGTGCAGACTACTCCACCGGGCTGAATGACGCATTGGAAGACTATCACTACCCCTTGCCGATTGTAGGCCAGACTTTTACCACCCTTAATGGAGGGAAAGTTTTCGCGAGGAGAGGCATACCTACAGTTATCAGTTGATGAAGCAGCGCAGGTGATGCTGACCATTAAAACACATAAGGTGTTGTTCAAATATCCTCGCCTCAATTATGGCGTGAAGACGACACCTAGTATCTTTCAGCAGTTAATGGACACCATGCTTACAAATTTCCCTGGAACTGTGGCATATCTGGATGACATTTTGGTTGTCGTCCGTACGAACGAGGAATTGCTCGAGAGATTTAACAAGGTCATGGAAAATCTTATTGACTACGGCTTAACAATCAACATGGAAATGAGCCAGTTCCTGCGGAAAGAAATTCGATACTTGAGTTTTGTGGTAAGTGAGGCAGGACGATCACCAGATCCAGAGAGAGTTGCCGAATTTAAGAATATGAAGGTGTATGAATATGAAGGTGTACTGTCATACTGTTGTCCTCTTCTTCCGAACATGTAGTGCACATTTCTAGAAGGATGATTATCTCTAAACATCTGAGCTAGAAAGTAGAATTTTTATGGAAAAAAAGGCAAATGCCCCCTTTTATGACCATAAAGCATGTTAGATCGTCAGCTACTATTAAATGCACTTTCTTTAAGTCGTCAGCTTACTAAAATTTCATCTAGGCTACGACTGCCAAGTAGGCTAAGCAATTTTACATGCACATACAAGCCGCACTGTAGCTTCCTAATTGCTGGCTTTAGCAAGTATGATTGACCTAACTAGCGCTTTTAGCATAGGCACTACACTACTAACAGTAGTAGGCAGAACTAGCAGTGCAAACACCACAGTATCAGTATGATCCGTAGTAATTGTAATGAAAAAATTGGTCTCCGTAATTATGGAAATCCTGCCTCTACCGCCACTACGGCTGCTCAGCTCTCTCCGGGCTGGTGGCACTTTTAGGCTAGGCACAGCACTTCTAAGACGAGTATCCTGAAAAATGTCACCCTGTTACCACCTAAATGCCTGACAGATCCTCCGCTCTTGCTACGTAAACCTTTCTCTAACCTTGAGCCTACTAATATCCCCTTATAGGTCCATGACTGCACACAAAGATAAAATATCATACATGTACGCACAGGCCGCATGGTTACTAGAATTAGCACCCCCAGCATGACACTTTCAAAAGTAGTATACTAGAGATCAAGGGAACACGGCCCTAGACAAATCTCCAACCAGCGGAACTACTGTCCTCGAGATGGGAGTGCGGAAACCAAGTCAAGCACAGCTTGCTCAGGCTCACAAGCATGTACTTACCGAAATAGTTAAACCCAGACTCACATTCCTGTTTAGAGCAAAGGAATATGAGCCCTAGCGTCGGCTTAGTCCGCGTCACCGTTGACAGATGGCAGCATCAGTGCTAGCGACGGTACTTCTACATTTCTTGTTGAGATTGATGGGACATGAACCCCATGCTGACTCTAGTACTCCTGGCATAGGCACGCACCTATAGCGGAAGCATCGTAGTCCTTACAGCTCGATGGATCAAGTTGAAAGTGCGGAAACCAAGGCATATGCAGCTTTGTTAAGGACACCCAGCTCTATTATTATCCAAATGCTAATCACTTTCATCTCACACAGACAGGGGAGTGCATACTGGGTGCGTCTCCTTAAACAGGATACACAGGCAGTACTTATAGTATGCTATCTACTAGCCTCAGTAAGCATAC